CAGATTAAGGGGCGGTAATATTATAATGAGATCCCTTTGCCACGTCACCAAGGGAGCGAAATCAGACGCGCTCGTTTTCTCAGACGCTTGCAGAAAAAGGCTTCCCAAAACAAAGTTACTGGGTTAATCTTTTTCACGTTTCCTTGGTTGGTAGATGCACCGGGGACCTGATTATAGCACTTAAAACCTGGAAAAGTCAGATTTTCATGATATGTCACCTTTAAAACATTTTTTACAATCTGCAAATTTGTGTGCCTCGCACTGAAATTTTACTAAAAGTTGTATATACAGTACATAAATGCACACATCTGTACATTAACCTACTGATCTTGATGTATATTACTTCATTGTTTTTAATGTATTTATTTTTTATATTAGGGTTAGTAGTTTAATTGTAATTTAAATGTTCTTTGTATTCTCTTGTGTTATATGTATGTTTGCATGTATGTACCCAGAGCTCCAGGAAACCACAACAAATTCCTTGTGTGTTTGCGCACACACTTGCGAATAAAGCTCATTCTGATCCTGATTCAGGCCAGTTATTATAATGAGAGCAGGTTCTGGTTCAGGTCTGAGGGGAAACATCATACTGAAGGATACTCCTGCTCGGAGTCCAGGATTTGGCTTTTGGAGAGGCTCCGCTGTACTTCCTGCTCCATCCTCTCGATCTCCTGCGCCATTTGGCTCTTCTGCCGCTCTAAATCCAGAAGTTTCTGACCGACCTCTTCCTCGGCATGTACAAGACCTTAAAAAGAAGACAACACAGAAAGAAGTATTTAGCTTTTATCATTGCATTTTGTACGTTTATATTAATTAGTAAGCTCAAAGTTAGCATTAGTAGTAAAGGAATACCATTTAAGAGCTCGGTTGTGGTCTTCTTGGTCTTGATGTGGTGGTCAAAGAACTCCTGCAGGTTCTCTCTCGCTCCTCGAAGAGCGCTCTCTGCCTTACTGCTCTTGATGAACTCAATCAATGCTTCCCCTGATTTCGCAAGGTCATCGTCATGCATCGCATCGTTCTGTGCCATGTCTGCATTAATAATGCTTCTGCAGAAAAATGCAGCACATATGGAGGTGAAGCTGTATGCAACATTTTTTCATTTTTGCAGATACTTTCACCAAAAGCGACTTACAAATGAGGAGCAAAGCAAGCAATATGTCATAGTTAACAAGTTTCACAGTAAAAAAAAAAAAATTTAAAGATTAGTAAACAAGCTAAAGCAGTGGTGAAATACTGAAAACAAATATAAATATCACTGAAAAAAAAGGATACATATTTATGTAGTGAGTTATAATCAATGCATTTTAACTGGAAGTCAAACCAGAAATATGAAGGCTACTTTTTATTTAACAGTTTTGCTGTATTATATGTTAGATATTATTCAGTGCTCGACAAGATTTATTTTTAACCAACAATAAGAGTTCTTGCCAACATTTTCACTGGCACCAAATTACAAATTTGTATTTTCAGTAATGCTTTTTTCCCCCCCAGAAATATTTATATTTTTCATTAAATGTCTCATTCATCTACAGCTATAAATAATATACCTGCATACATGCAAACTATGCAAACGGTTGGTTTGAAGTTTGCAACACATTCTTCTTGACGCTTCACACATTCAACAAAAATAACTGCGAATCAGTAGCTCTATTAGCTGTTAAAGTATATAGTATAGTACGAAAGGTGTATAACTAATATTAAAATGAGAGACTGTTGTTTAGTAAACATCAACATGATAAAAAAAACGGCCTAAAAACAACCACACAATAACGCATCCACAAACACATGATTTATGGATGTAGTCAATGTGGCGCTTTAGAACTCTTCCACAAATAACACTTATTAATACAATATACAGGTTTATTGTTATAGATTCAAGAGCAAATAGTCTCACCCGCTCCACGCGCTGTTTATCCGGATTTCAAACTGGCGGCTGCTTGGCGCGCTTTTCAGAAACGCGCCTGAATAAAAACCAGCTTCAGTACTTCAAGCTTTTGTTTTCCCTCCATCTTGATCATTGTTTTAATGCATTCAATTATATAAAATCCAGAATGTGCTCTTCGCAACTAGTCGAGGTTATTTTAAATAGACGCTAGAATTACTGTCAGGCAACTATCTGAGACACCTAAACCGCGCTTGTCAAAAGTCCAAACCAAAGCAAAGCCCCAAAGCGATGCAAGCAAAGCCACTAGAAGGCTTTAATAATAATAATAAAGCTTTAATTAAGAAGTAATACATGAACATTAAGTTTAAGATTAAATGCCACTTAATCGGAAATATCTTTATTGTATTGAAAAGAACACGTTTTCTCTATGAATCATAAGTTGTAGTTATAATATGCCTGCAATTGAAAATGTAGGTAATACAATCTTTGGATTTGTTCTATTTTAAAAGAGAATCTGGTGTAACTCCATCAAAACCCAGTAACTAATTCTGACAACTGTAAGCAGAGCGCTCAACACACAATATGAAAAGTCTTGTGAAAGAAGTGTCTTTATTTCTACTACAACTATTCTTTTTTATTATTTTAGGAACATAGATAAAATCCATTCGTGACACTGACGAACCAGAAACTTTCAAGATTCAAGCAAGGTATTAAAATGAGAAAGCTTACTATTTCACGGTTTCTGGTCCCTTGTGAAACAAAAATACACTAAAATTCAATATGCCAAACACAAACGGTTTACTTTCAGCATGACGGTTTGCTCTTTTTCTGCCGCTTTTCCTTTTTCTCCCGCTCTTTTCTCTTCTGTCTGTACAGCTCTCTGAAGTGGAGTCTCTTTGGATTCAGCCCGTAGGCTTGGAGTCTCTGTCTGCTGAACTCTCTTCCAGCCATCTTCACCGTCATGGACCTGGAAAGTAGGCATCCGCCCCTGTGCCTCATTTTCTTTTTAAGCCATTGAGGTTTTTCAGTCCTTTCCTTGGCCACCTCCTCTTTCGGGGTTACAGCAGTCTCTTCCAGCTTCTTCTTTTTCTTAGGAACCAGGAACTCCTCATCATCCTCCCCTTCATCCTGTACAGCGACTTCTTTGAGGTCCTGGACGTCTGTTTGGTCTATGCCGTCAACTACAGGGCTTTCAGATGTATCTTCTGACTTCTCCATCTTGACCTCAGACCGCTTTAGACGATCCCTTCGCTTCTTACCCACCTTCCCCTTGGGCTCCATCAGCTCTTCCTGACCTTCGTCCCTGTGTAAAGAAGCCACGCTCGGTTTTCATTTGTATGAGGTTGACATTGTGTGTCATGATTATGGTGTTTAAAGGAACACTTACTCATTATACAAAGACACAAACACTTGCTGTTTCTTCTTGTTATTCCGTGCTTTGATCTGGAAGTTCTTCACGTCACATAGCTCCTCCCTCTCTGACCTAAACAAGGAGAAATGTAACAAAACTCATCAAAAACCTATTCCAAAAATGTATTTATTTAGCTAAAGTTATTATCCCTGATAATATCATTAAATGGTATCACTATATATTCGGAAACTTCACTATAGCTCCAGGCTAGCTCATATCAATCACAAAAACTACTGTGTGGTACCTGTACATGCAGGTCTTCCTCAGTGAGCACCAGCGGTTCAACTCACTTTCATCTGCTTTCAGGATCTATGGAAAGAGGTTCAGTTGAGAATAACATGGAATTATTAGCTAGATGATTTCAGAAGGTATTTGTTTTCTAAATAAGATACTAATAAATAAATCACAGAGAAGAATATATAATAGATTATTTTTATTAAATCATGCAAAATTCTAGGGATGCACAAATTGTGGCTAATAATACAACTAATAATTATTTTCATACTACTACGTTTGGGGTCAGTATGTTTTTTTGTTGTTGAAAGTCTCTTATGCTCACTAAGGACTTATTTGATCAAATATACATTAAAAACGGCAATATTGTGAAATATTCGTACAATTTAAAAGAAAGGTTAATATATTTTGCAATATCATTTATTCCCGTTATGTTTACTCGTCTTCAGTCACATGATCCTTCAGAAATCATTCTGATATGCTGATGTGCTGCTCAAGAGACATTTTTGATTATTATCAATGTTGAAAACAGTTGTGCTGCTTAATATTTCTGTGAAAACTGTAATAATTTTTTTTTCCAGAATTCTTTGTTGAATAGAAAGTTCAAAAGAACAGCATTTATTTGAAATGTAAATCTTTTGTAACATTATAAATGTCTTGGCTGTCACTTTCGTTCAATTTAATGCATCCTTGCTGAATAAAAATAAATAAATAAAAATCTTATTGACCCCAAACTTTTAAATGGTAGTTTATAAATATATATCAAATAATAATGCAACACAGTAATTTTTACTAAAATAATACTAACAATAAAAAGTAAGTAGGTTTTGGCAACGTCAATGACTGATATGCATCACAAAAATAAAATATTAGCAGATATACTTGGCATAAACCTCCAGCTTGACCACTGAAAGATTTACTTAAAATGCCAGAGTGGACACGAAGCTCAAACATACTAAACACAGCTCTCAAATCCTCTATGATCTACAGGGTTCGTACACATTTTTACCAATAAATTTCCATGACTTTTGAGACAATATTCATGACTTAAATGTTCCATTATTTTACAATAAGAATAAAAATCTTTTCAAATTATCATAGCATATGTTAACTAAAATGAATGACTAATAATGCTACTCATTTGCTTTCTTGTTTTAGTAATAAGTACAAGCTGCAACTGCGCCAGACGTTACTCCACATTTCACATCACTGAATATTATCATTTATTTAACTGTGTGGCCAGGATGGCCATTTTGGTGTCATTTTGTGTGTATTTTTGCTGCTTAAATGCAACAAGCTGCGCTTTAGAGCCCTGCATTTCAGCCCGAGCCCAACGGCCCCAACTTATTTATGGCTTCGGGACAATTTTCACGTCATAGCTCCGACACGGGCCAGGCATCAGGCTTGCTTCCTCCTTATTTTTATATTTT